AAGTTGGTAGAATTTTAAACAAATTTAATAACTTTTAATTTTTAGAGAGGGTTTTAGGAGTTTCGAATATAACCTTACAAATAATATAATTATTTTTATTAACTTAATAAAATTATTCTAAAATTTGAAATTTTTTGTTTAATAGTGTAAAAAAATAAATGTAATTTGTAAGCACAAAGAATCTTTATAGAAACACCACTGTACTTGGTGAATGCGATTTTTGGCAGATGCACCGAAAGGTTTTCAGATTGCTCCCCCTTTCATGCCAGTTTCATTAGGTAGATTTTCCACCTGAGTGAGGAACTTTACAGTACTGCCCGCCCCCAACCCCACTAACATTGTTCTGCATTCACAAGTTCGTTTCGTGCTCTTATGGTTTTCTTTTTTTTTTCCCAAGCAGTCCCCGCTGCATCGCTTTTTCCCTCGTTTGCTTTGCTGCTGCAGCTTTCATTCATGCCACGTCGGTTGACATAATGCGACATGGCCACACAAACCACCCACCCACCATACATACATACCTCTCATTGTCAACTACTGCACTTGGCAAAAGTTTCTACCAGCCATTGCCATGAAAGTGCCATTCAAATCTTCCGCCCCCTCACCACGCCCCCTTTTGGATTGACATAAGTTGCTCCTTGATCGAAAGGGTTCATATATTCCTGCCGTTTCGACTTTGTAGCTAGGCAACACTTGGTAAACACAGCAAGCCATGTTTGTTTATCTGTAAAAACAATAACAAACTCGGCTCAGAACTCGAAAAGACCTCGACACAAGCATACACATAAAATCTTTAAATATTCATCACGAATTATAAATATAATAAATATTATATAGCAAGCTCCAGAAATAACCCTTCTGGGCCAAGTTTAAAGAATAGCTGTATTTAAGAACAAAATTCCCAAATATTCTTATTATAAAATCCATGAAAACCTGAAGATATAACAGAAAAGCCAGGAGTTGTAAAGACTACAAAATGGGTTAGTATTTATTTTATTCCTGGGATCCCAGTTTCCTAACCCCACTTTTCCTTATAGATACAACCGCAGAACGTCAGGTTAGATTGGAAGGAGTGGAACGTGTGCTCAAGATGTCCCAGGAGCGCATTAAGATAGCGATGATCATACCGAAGCTGCTGGAAAATCCCGAAAAGCTGAAGAGCGTGCTGAAGGGCACCTGCTATGAGGAGGTCCTCGAACCCATCGATGCCATGATTCATCATCTGGGAAAACAGACTGGACGCTCCAAGCTGCCGCACGATCACACCACTATGCGAATTGTTGATTTCTTTCTGGTTAACCATAGCATTCACCGATTCTTTCCGCATTTGAAACATAACCTTAATGAGAGGGATCGCCAGCTGCTGGCCGCCTTCCACTTTCTCCTGGAGAGTGCCCACATGCACCTGCACCGATCCTCGAGAAGCGAGATCACCAAGGAGCGAAAGCTACATGCCATCTATCACCAGAATGTGGATATTCAGAAGAAGATAAAGGAACTGAAGGCCAGCTTGGCCTTTCAGAAGGTCATTGGTAAGTGGAAGACGGCCGCCAAGGGAATCTACCTGATGAAGGTCGAGGAGGATCTGGCCAACAAGAAGTGGCAAAACAACGTGGCCATTCAGAACGAAATGTAAGTAAAAAAATTGAATTCAAAATGTTCTACTAAATATTTAAATTAAATACAAAATATTAACATTAATTACAAATAATTTTAAATTGCATAATTTAATTTGAAAATGTTTAAATCAAGATAGAAAATAACTGTGATGTTAATCATATTAAAATCAAAGTTGAAATTTCCTAAACTGTAAAATTTAATATTTAAAATAATAAAATGGGTTTCATATTAAATTGGATGAAAATCATTGCTTAAATATTTAAATTGAGTGTAAAATCAATGGACTTACCAATTTTTTTTTATATAACATATTTTATAAAAAATTCAAAGAAATCCCATTTTCTAGTGAAAAGTGCAATCGCACAATGCGTAGTTACCACAAGGGCAGCATGGACAGGCAAAAGGATCTTGAGGAAGAGCTTCAAATTGCCCGGGAAAGTTACGAAAAGATGACTAAGAAGCACCTGGCCGAAGAGCACGAGTTGCGAAGCGAAAAGTAGGATAGAGATAATAAATCTTTCAATCTATAATACCATACTATTTCTCCCAAAACAGAAATAAATTGCTTCTGCAACTGCAGAGTTTGCTTAAGAAATACGATACCAGTCTGGGCGAAAAGATGCGCGAAAATCTGGTGGCGCAGGATCAGTATTTGGTGGCCAAGAAGATCCTAGACGATTTTATGGTCCAGTTCAAGCAGGAGGAGCGTATCTACAAGAATATTGTGGTGAAACGAGAGGAGGAGGAGCGTCGCATCCAGCAGCAAAAGCTAGTGATCTTCATGATGAATCGGGCTGCGGCCAAGATCCAAAAGTACTGGCGCAAGTGGAAAAAGGATCAGCGCAAGAAGAAGCGCCAGGGAAAGGGAAAGGGCAAGAAGGGAAAATAGTTGGAAAACTGAAGAAATACTTATTTCTACATTGTACAATTTATATGTAGAAATAAAAATATAATGCATGCTACTAAATTGTGTTTCCAAAATGGTGAATAAGAATGTCAAAAAGTTAAATTTTCTATACTCCTTATTTTGTTTGCCAGTTTGTTTAGATAGCTTTTGTGGCATTAAAATGGCAAAGCTTTTATAATTACGCATGTATGCAAATTATTATTTCCATAAGAGAAAAGGCAAATGTTTACTTGCAATTAAATCATGTTTACTTGGCACTTGACGCCTATTCACATTTGTTTTTACCACCGAAAAGGGGATTAGCTCCTGCTATCTTAAATGTTATAAATTTAATCCAATAAAAAAATAGGGAACCTTCAACTTAAAGGTATTAGATGAAAATAAAGTCCCCATGCTAAAAATTCTAACTTTAAATTTTAAAGTTTTCACTGAGCTGTAATAAAAATAAAATATTTTATTATAATAGATTAAATTAAGATAAATATTTTGAAAACAATCACTAAAATAAATGCCTAAAAGTATGCTTAGTATGTAAAATAATAAAAAATTATTTTTTAAAATTTGTGTTAGACCATTTTGACATATTTTTAAGGAGGTTTTACCTTGTAAATAAATTTAAACTTAATCTTTCTAGACAATGTAACTTAACTGCATACGTATACTCATTGAATTGCGATAAATTTCGGCAAAAGCATTGTCAACGTTCTTTTTTTGGCGGGGTGAAAGGGCGACTTGTGGGGCTTCCTCTGCGATTGCGAAAATCCAAGAGAGAGAATGAAAATGCCTGGCAGAATGTTTACCCAACACACGCACACTTGCACACACACACATAAAGAAGGAGGGGAAAGCCGAATTTTCATGTCTTGCGGGGCGAACGAAAAATGGCGCATTGCTGTCGTCGCCAGGCGACAACGACAACGACAACGACAACTACAACAGCGACTACAAACGCCCTGCCCCTTTTGGCCCGAACCGATGTTTGCTGCATTGTTACTTCATTTTCATTTTCGTTTTCGTTACCTAGCCCTCGGACCACGCCCCCCGCCCACCGACCATCGCCTCCTCCCTTCTGGCATGTCTAATTTTCCAGAGGTTAACATACTTAACTTGTTGGCATGCGTTGCAAATGCGCCAAGGCTGCGTTGCACCAAGCACCAAGCGGCGCCACATTGCGACAATTCGCTGCGGCAAAGGAAATCGTACAGCAGCAGCGGCAGCTGGAAAATGCGCAAAATCGCCAGTACAGTCCAGTGTCCAATGTTCAATGCCCAATGCTGAATCCCAGTGGAATGGCCATACATTCCGCATTGTAATTGCACACGCATCCGCTGACCACCGATTTGTGGTCTTATATCCCTGGGCTAGTTCAAGATAGGGGGTCGAAGTCCCTAAGGAATATGACCTATTACATAAAAAGGATGCTTATATTTATCTTGAAAGAAAACTCGACTTATTGGGCTAATTAAGAAAATTTTATTAATTGGAAGTTAACTGCCACTAACAAAACAACACTGCGTATGAGCGATTTAGTTATATCGTTCATAAGGCAACGCTACGTATGAGTGATGCCCTTTATAAACATCTTACAGGTTCATAAAAAAGAAGAAAGATTAATTGTAAAATGAAAGAAATAAATAATTATACTTAGAAACAACAAATCTTATAAAACTTAATTTCATTTTTTTTATTACCCCAACATGTAACCTAATCATAAAAATATTTAAAACATACGTAATCAAGCATAGTTGATTCATGCATAGAACTTAATTATACCCGTTACTCGTAGAGTAAAAGGGTATACTAGATTCGTGCAAAAGTATGTAACAGGTAGAAGGAAGCGTTTCCGACCCTATAAACTATATATATTCTTGATCAGGATCACTAGCCGAGTCGATCTAGCCATGTCCGTCTGTCCGTCTGTCCGTCTGTCTGTCTGTATGAACGCTGAGATCTCGGAAACTGTAAAAGCTAGAAGATTGACATTTTGCATGCAGATTCTAGGAGTTCCTACGCAGCGCAAGTTTGTTTCAAAAGGGTGCCACGCCCCCTCTAACGCCCACAATCGCTTGTATACGATTTTAAAAATTTCAATATTTCGGAAAAGTAAAAATGCAGTTTTATGGTCTTTATCAATACCTATCGAAATGTAGAAGAAATTTTTAAATCGGACCATTCGTTAAAAAGTTACGGCGGATCAAAGTTTTTATCTCCTTCGCACTTCCTTTAGCTGAGTAACGGGTATCTGATAGTCGGGGCACCCGACTATTGCGTTCTCTCTTGTTTTAATAGGCTCTCAAACCATTCTTGGAAGTACATATATTTGATAAAACTAATGTGTATTATGATTCGTTTTTATATGAAACCATGAATCATCTAATATTAGAAACATAAAAAACGCAATTTAGCAAACGAAAATAAAATATATTTAAATATAGTTGTAAGCCACTTAGTAGTCCTTCGAATAAATGTAATAAAATCCAAAATTCAGGCCCAACCCCCATCCAATCCCATCCTGATCTGAACCCCCAATCGAAACTATGGCCAAACGCGATATCCTGCCCGTCTTTCCATCTCGAGCCAATTCCGTGATCATGAAGCAGCGGGTTTTGGCGGCCAGGAGAGGCGTGGGTCTTCTAAAGCGGAAGCGAGATGCCATCGACATGAAGATGCGAGAGCTGCGGCGCATCCGTTACGACCAGGATGTATTGGGAGATGACATGATGCGCCAGGCCATTTTCTCGATGGCCAAGGCCAATCTCCTGGGCGCCGATTTCAAGCCGCAGATGGTGAGCCACAGCCCTGTGGCATCCACCTATCTTCGCCGAACTCAAATCAAAATCGTGGGCGTCAAGCTCAACTGCCTGGATCTGGAGAAGAAGGGCATTGGAGCCTATCCTCTGGCGGGTCTCAGTTGTGGCGGGTTGCAGGTTCAGCGGATCAGAGATTGCTATACCAAGGCACTCAAGGAACTGGTGCTTTACGCCTCACTCGAGTACCAAGTTCGTATGTTGGAGGCAGCTTCCTTGCAAACAAATATGAGGGTCAATGCCCTGGAGCATGTGGTAATTATTGGAAATTTTGGTTTTAACATTAATTTACCAGTTCTGCTTTAAATTTTTAAGTTCATTAATTATAGATTTTATGTTTTCCGACAAAATATTCTATATTAATAAAATGAACATATTTCTTTCTTGATTTCGATCTTAATTTCTAGTACAGTAATGTTTGCAGATTAACTGTTGTAGAGACAATACTTTTTTTGGAAATATCTGTGACTCAAATTAAATAATTTAATAAAATGTTTCGATAACTTTCATTTAGTTAACAGTTGTTCCAATATTACATTATCCCTTTCTTCAAGGTTATCCCCATCCTGCAAAATACCTATAACTATATATGCGGGGAGTTGGAGGAGTTCGAGCGGGAGGACTTCTATCGCCTGAAACGCTCGCAGGCGAAGCAGCTGGAGGCCAAAATGGCCTTCACCGAGCTGATCAAGACCAAGAACATGACCGACGAGGAGCTGGAGTCCTATGTGAAGAAGCACATTGGACAGCCGCGTCCTGTGGCCGACACCATCTTTGATGACGATCAGTTCGAGGAACGCGAGGTCAAGCGACGTGTGCGGGAGGCCCGGTTGTCCTTGAAGCAGCGACGGGAGGTGGCCAAGAAGGAGGCCGCCGAGCGGGGCGAACAGCCCCCGGCGACCACTTATATCACCACTCGTAGCGCCATGAGTGTTTCGGGTCGCCTGCGGGATCCACGCGTCAGCAGCGGTGATCTGTACAGCACCAAGCGCCAAATCCTCTCCAGCATTACTGGAGGAAAGTCGTTCGAAAGGAAGTCCGTGGTTCAGGTTGTTGAAAAGAAGCCCAGCCAGCAGTCGCCCGAGGAGTCCCAAAGACCAAGTGACGAACCTCCTCCACCTGAGAAAGAAAAGCCAGGATCAGTTTAGGGATTTTTGGGTTCCAAATTTTAAAATAAATGTTATTTTTAACATTTTAAGTAAGACTTTTCTTTATTTGACCCCAGATCCGTCACGTAGGTAATTTAAGAAAATTATATTTCATTATGAAATATTTAAAAGAAATCGAGCCCTAAGCTAAATACATTTTATAAATTTAATTTAAGCGGACCGCATTTACAGTACTTTAATACACTATCTAAAATTTACTTTTTTGAAAAGCTGAATGAGTAAGTTTAAAATTGTGCATTTATTTGTCCGAATTCAAAATTATTTTTGTCACAAAATTTGACATCAGAACTTTTGTATGTTGAAAGTGCGGTCGTCACTATTTTTTACCTCGTTAAGAGGTATTTTTCTTGGTTACTATTTCAACCTTATGAATAACACTGTTAATTACAGGGTACCACTGTACACCACACCCTAATATTCTCCCACTCCCGTACTTTTCGCCAAAAGCGCCGGCGCGGCCGTTACAACGCAAAATCAAATTTGCTTTCGGTTAAAAAAGAGGGTGGAGGGGTAGAGCCCATGCAGACGCTGCAGAGAAGAGAGCGCCCGCGAGAGAGCTTAACCGGTTCGCGCTCTCGCGCAGGCCGCTGCTGCTTTTGATATCGGGGAAAATAAAACCGTATATATGGCGACGCAGCGCTATTTCGAACAAAGTTTTGTGAAAGTCGTCGACCGTTGCGGACGGAAATTCAGATTAGGATCGTGAGTTGCCAGAACCAGATATTACATATAGAGCGTTGGGCCAACCGAAGCTAAAGAGCACAGACCAGCGAAAAAGGACCAGGAGCTGCGAAAGTTTCGCGGAAAAGCCAATTTTCACGGCGCCAGCCAAAAAATACCAAGAAAACCCACGAGCAAAAAATATAAATGAAACAAATATCTTTATAAAAACCGAGTCCGAGCAACTCTTATATGTATTAGCTCTCCCCGCCACATATCTACTATATAAACGAGAATTCTGCCGTGTGCGCGCGTGTGTTTGGCATATTTCGCACAATAGATGAAAAAAAAATGAAAAAAAAACCGAATGAAAGCCACAAAAAAAAAGAAAGAAACGCAAGGCGAAAATTTGTATTAAATTCGGCTGAAAACAACAACACTACAGAATTTAAGAAACTGCCACGGCGAGGAAAAAAAGTGTCGGCGTCGCTGCTTTGGACGCTTTTTTTACCTCTTCAAGCTGGCAGTTTTCTTCCTCCTCCTCCTTCTCTTCTTCCAGCTGACCCCCACCGAAAGTAATCCCCACTTCTTGCTTCTTTTGCAGTGTGTTAATTAGTAAAACAAAAAAGTTAAGTTAACCGCGCGTTCCGTAATTCCACTCACACACATACCAACACCCCAGCAGCAGCAGTAGCCGCAGCGGATTAAAACTTCGTCACTCTAGCAACAAAACAAAAAAAACCTACAAAAATGGTAAGTTTATGGGTCTCTGGCTGGAGAAAAACATGTGCATCTTTATTTTCTGTGTTTACACAACGTGCGGCCATCATTTTCCATTGAAATTTCCACAGTTTTTGCGAAAAATCAAAGTCAGACAGCGACCCCCAGGGCAATTACCATTAGTGTGAGCGGGACGGGGATGGGGGCGAATGGCTTCCAATTAGACGTTGTTTATATGGTTTTAACGGCTTTCCACACACATATACGATATACGAACACCCCAAAAACACCCCGTCGAAAAGCAGCTGTCCCCGGGAATTTCGTTTACATTTCGCACCCCAAAAATATATCATGCTCACATGGGTAGAAAAAACTGGTTCTTTCTACAATCTAAAACCGTTGTATTACCAAAAAAAAACCAAATTAAACTTCTGCATTATGTACCCCTCGATGCACGGCAGTTTATAACCCATTACCTGCAGGTGGTATTTCTCCTGATTCAAGCTCATTTTCAAACTATAAACTTGCAAACTATAAACTATATTATCCAATTCAAAATGGAGGTATCTAAATGGTAATTTCAAATTCGATCTTCTTTGCTTTTCAAGTAACTTCTAAAAATAGAACTTTAAGATTTCATAATTACTACAACTTTTGACTTAATCAAAAGTTAAACTTCACCCCCGGGGTCGCGAAAAAAACAAGTAGTACAATTAAATAGCAATGTCGAGTATCAAGAATTTACACACATGTCACGTCACCCGTCAAAATTATTATTTTTCCAAGGCTGTCGCACACGGAATGTTGACTCTCGATCAGGTTCGCCCTATAATAATTCCATGACGTTCGCAAACAGAACCCCTCGAAACCCAATCAGGCGTGGAAAAGTGGAAATTCTTATCAGCATCTCGAGCAACACCTCATTTTCCGACCACCGCCCCCTTTTTCCGCCTCTTCTCTGGGGATCATAAATCAAATGTGATTTTAGCCAATTTGTTGAGCATTATGCACACAGACACACACACACACATGCGCGTTGCCATCGGCACTTTTATCAGCAATTTTTCAAAGATCCCCGCAAATTATAGAAAAGCCCCCGTCCTCCATTTTGCTTATCAGTGGAAAATGCGTGAATATATGTACAAACGTATATATTGATGGACAACAAAGTCGCCGGGGCCGGCATTATCGGTCTCTCCTCTTTGCCCCGCCATTCGTTGTTCGCTCACTCTGCGCTTTCTGGTTGTATTTTTTATTTACCGCACATTTGAACGCAAAAATTGAGGTTAGGAACGGCCCATGGAAATGGTGGAAAAATTCTTTAGAGGAATTTCGCGGTGCGCTCTCTTTTTTTGCCCTGCTCTCTCTCTCTCTCTCCCACTTGCGCACCCGCCGCTCAGTTTAACCGTTTCGACGCTCTCTCACCATAACCGTTTCACACACTTTCGCGTCTCTCCCTGTGTGCAATTATTTCGTTCGTTATCAGTTCCGTTTTGTGCTGCGTCTCTCTCTTTCCGTTTCTTTCAGTATTTCATTTTTTTTTGCGCCTTGCGCTTGGCACTTTTATCGACGCCTGCCTTTTGTTGTTTTCTTCCATAACCGTTTCATTTGCCGCATTGCGGTTATTTTGCTGTTTCGCCCTCGTCTTCGTTCGTCCGCTTCGCTCGTTCATTCGTTCGGCTCGCGGTACTCGTGTGCGTGTGTCTATATGGGTGTGTGTGTTGGCGGCTGCCTGTTCCACTTTGCCTTTTCGCACAAGAATTTTATTGTAACGGCACACAGGCGAATGGCGGGGCAAGGAGGAAAGCTGCAAATGAAGAAAAATTCCTGCTAGACGCCGCTTAACCACATAATCAAATTTTCTTGTCGCCCGCTTCTTGCACCTTCTTCTTCTTCTTCGGCTTTTCTTTCTGTTTGCTTTTCTCTGCGCCTTTTGATAAGAAAACCGCACGCCCACTTTATAGCACCACCCGCGCCCTCGCCCCCTTCTTGGCCTCATCTGGCGTCGCCTAATTAAATTAGCGATTTTTACAGCTTACGCAGAATGCAAACAGCTTTTAATTAAAATATATCGCATCGTTTTGTACGTGCCCAATTTGTTTCTGTGATTCAACTGCTAACTTGGCCCAAAGCAAACATTTGCCAAGGGTTTTACTGACTGATCTTCAAAGTTTGTTGATCTTCTGCCGGGTTAATTATGAGAAGTGTCTGTATATCTTCGCATTTGTTTGATTCCGTTGAAAAATTAGACATGAGTCACTGTGTTCTTGGGCTGACTTCATCGATCATACGGCTTATGATGAATAACCGATGATGATGATGTGAGTGGCATATTAATAACGGCAAACGACTGGGTTTTGGCTCAGTTAGCACAGTTGTTTGGATCTCGGTTCGGATGCACCGAAGTTGTACCCAAAAACCATACTTAATCGTCATTCATAAAACCAAACTAAACCCCATGAAACCCCATTAAACCGGTTGGGACCGGCAAAAAATAAAAAGAGGAGTAGACAATACAACGGTAAACCGGCAAACTTGGCTTCAACATAAATTTCCAGTTAAGACTTGTTTGAAGTTGAGTCCACAGTCAAACTTCACTAAAAGCAATTTTGCTAGAACTAGAAAAATGTTGTAACACAAACTAAATTTCTTAAAATAACTTTAAAATCTAAAAAATGTTTTGGTAATTTCCTACAAATGATTCAAGCAGTAACTATAAAATTAAAGAAAAATATACATTGGTTGAGCCATAATTTTTTTTGGGAAAATTTGTGACTTAGAAATTATAATTTTTGATAAATCATAAAAATATTTAGTAAACAACTCTATTTTCAAAAGCATAGTAGGTATTTGTCACCATCATTAGTGATTATTTCCAAGTAAAAAGTTGATACAAGGCGACTAATTTTGGTGGATCAAGAGGTCAAACTCGATAGCCTATGACTCACTCTTAAAAATAAAGAAATAGGCCTGATAAATACGCCCAGCTTGAGTCCTTCTCCAAGGCATAACATTTCGGAAGGCACTGTGTTTGCCCTGATATAGAAGCTTCCTCGGGATGCCGTCGTGGGCGTCTGATTGTGCATACAAATGGATTACCAATTAGGCATTAACCCCCCTCGATTACCGATTGCCATTAATGGATATCGGTGGGTGGGGTCGGTCTGTTGTTGTTTGCATTTGTCGCCATTTAAAGAGAGAGCGCTTCAATCTGGGGATCTGAACTTCGATGGGTGTTTTTGGCTTAGTCACGGCTGCCAATGACATAACCCAGTTGAAAAGAGTTTTATCTGCTCAGACCGCAGCGATAAGCTGGGCCAAATTCAATTGAACGCCAACGCATAAAACAAGAAAAACAAAAAGCAAAAAACAGGTGCCACCAACGCGGCAGCAAACCAAATGTACTCGTATTTGCTGTTTAAATTTACCGAAATTCCCCCGATTAGATAAGGTCAGGGCGCTATAATTCCAATGCCAATTGCTGATTTGGCTTTAACTAAGTTTGGTCACTGTTCTCCCAGCGGAAGTTGTCCATAAAGGTTGGCCAACATGTCTGAGAGCCACGTTTGCGTGTGATTTTTAAGGAATACCATTTGGCCTTCAAGGTGATTAGATTGGGGAATTTGTTCGTGCTAGGGAATTCACAAAAGTAAAACTCTATTTTCAACTGTTGATCTCAATTATAATAACTATAGGATGGGATTGATAGAGGACTTTATGCAATAAGGCAAATTAAGCTGTAATTACATAGGGATCGGTAATCAAACAATCGCGTATATATTCTGTTGCCTTTAACACACTTATCAGCTTGAACAAATATATATGTAAGTCAGCCTCTGACGCAGGCAAAGTTTGCTTTTGCATTTTTGCTTCATGATTAATAATAATTATCGCAAGTCAAACCAGGCCTTATATTATACTCGTTAATTTCTTGAGCTTATCTGGCCGAGAGCGAGTTGCACAAATAAACATTAATGTGCCATAAAACAATAACAGGCAAACGGGAATTTTATACGCCCGGTTTTTGGTTTTGTTACTGCTCGAACATTAGAACATTAGACCCTGAGGATCGTTTTTGGCTAGAATTACCGGCTCCTGAGACTGACAACTCGCACGTCTCTTGTCGCATATTCATCACTCGCATGACAATAATAAATTTTGGTTTTGGGTGTCGTAGTCTCGTCTCCCTGCCGGCTCTTTTCTTCCAATCCACTCCACTCCTCCTTTCTTCAGTCCTCTTGTTTATTCACTCGCTGACGTCAGATTTCGTTGATTCAGCGGAAACTTAACACCTTTTTCAAGATACCCCTGCATAGATACAGATACAATTGTATCTCGGGACTCGCCTTGCGGCAAACAAACAATACGCAAAATTATTCAAATTAAACACAATTGTTCTCCCTTTTCGTCTTTTGTTATTCCTAATTGTATGTATTCTTTGGTAGTTTTCCATGTTGACATTGAAATGCAATCGAGATTTCGTTGAAAAGTATTTCACAAACCAACCTAGTCGAGAGTATTCATAGTCAATAGCTGTAATATTTATTTTGTAAATAATTTCTAGGCAACGGTTTTATAATGGTATATCTGGGGATCTTCTAAAGTTATGCATCCAATTAACGCCCGGTATTCATTTGTGTTTTTGCAGGCCGATCAGCTGACAGAGGAACAGATCGCTGAGTTCAAAGAGGCATTCTCGCTATTCGACAAAGACGGCGATGGCACCATCACAACAAAGGAGTTGGGCACAGTCATGCGCTCCCTGGGCCAGAACCCCACAGAGGCCGAGCTGCAGGACATGATCAACGAGGTTGATGCCGACGGTAAGTTGGGAAAAAATGAACAAAATGGGGTAAAATTAAACAAATAACTCGGGGTGTTATAATAGATTTCAAGTCAGTCTTGGGTTTTATAATACGTTTTTTTCACATTCTAAATACACGGAACTTAAGAATTCGCGCTAGGAACATACGAATTTTTTTAATACAATTTTTGCTTATGATGTGTCAAACGTAAGATGTTTAACGTTTAACATTTTAGAAACATAAATTGCCCTTCATTTAGTTCCAGTCATTAGGTATACAATCTGATGAAGTCAGACTTCGAAGCTTTCTCGGCTATATGTGCAAATGATCTGATTTGCCATGGTCTCAGTCGTTCAGCTCAGTGCCAGTTATAAACAGACTGGTGAGAACCCCTTCTAACCCGATCCCGAGGTGTCTAATTTTGTTTACCCAAATCTATTGCTGTTCTGGGACTAATCCCTCTCACTCGTTCCGTTCTCCTCCTTTCGCAGACAGACATAGATCAGACCAATATTTGTACGACAAACAATGGGTGGAAAAAAAACATGAAAATCATTTCTTGGCTAAAAATATGCAACAAAAACACGTCATAGGCATTAAAAATAGATGACTAAAATATTTTGGCTCTTTCCCGTGTCTTGTCTTTGGCAGCCGCTGCTGTCAGATTTTTTTTGTTGTATATTTCTGATGGTATTTAAGTTTTTTTTCTTCTAATTTTTGAGTAAAGGTGGTTGTTTGCTTAGCTGAAAATCTCGGACAAGTTTTAGTGTAACAAACTTTTTCGGGAAACCAAGAAGATCCATTTTTATTTTAGAATCTAGAGGAAATCGAGCGACAGGCGCCTCGCGCCGAAAATGTGGCAAAATTGAAAATGTGTCGCCCATTTTTATAGCATGAGGTTTTTCACCTTTTGGCGGTAAACTAGATTTCCGCGAATGTGTGGAGAAAATAAATAGCTTTCCGCACTTTGGTCGTATATAATCGCATTAAAAGGGAAAATATTATTTTAAAAAGTATTTTTTTAAGGGGAAAACTTAGTTATAAAGATGTTATTTCGTTTATTTTTACATAATTTAAGGGAATTTCTGGTAGAACAGACTTAATTAATTTTTCTTCTGCTTCTTTTCGAGCTACTTTTTCCCATTTTTTTTTCTGGAAATTTTTCCTAGGAGAAAACGTAACAAGTAAATCATAAGAACTCAGCTGCAAAAAGTTACTTTCCCCCTCACTTATTCTTTCATAAGTTTTGTAACTGTCCCCGCCCAATTTGTATTTGTTTGCATTGTTCCATTTTCTTTGTGAGTTTTTCCTGGTTTGTTGTTGCTGCTGTTGCGCTTGCACGTGGAAATTGTGTGCGCATGTTGTCGAAAATATCCAGGACAAAATCTGCAAAATCCTGCATAGAATTTTGAGCGCAGGCGCCATGAAAACTCTCGCACAATTCCTTTTTTTTTTATTTCTACCAACGGTTAAAGTGTTGCAATCATGGAAAAAGGGGCTTAGACAAAAAGGGAGGGTGGATGCTGCATACTAACTGTTTATCAGGGCTAAAAATAGTAGTTTGGCATGGGGTCGCCACTTGGGAGTCCAACATTTTTGCCAACTTTATTTGCTGGAATTTGCATATGTGCAAAACTTTTTCATTGAGTGGAAAGCAAAATGTTTTGGCAACTTTATTTCCCAACGTTTAGTATTTTAAATTACTCGAAAGTTGTTTCCTCCCCCTGCTGCCGACTGACTCCTCTAATTTACGATCCCACAAAGGAATGCAGTTGCTGGCCGAAACTAACTTGGCAACCCGAGAATCACCCACTCACATGGCCCACTCACTCGCAGGCAGGCAGGAATCTGACGGAAACATTAAACATTCATTACTTAAAATTTTGTTGGCGTCTCGTCGCAGGCAGTTGACAATGGCCAAACTGCCAGCTTCTGAGTCTCTGAACTGCATGCAAACGACCGCATTAGTTGTTGGCGGGCGGAGGGGGCGAATGGGAATGGGATTGTCCAGTCGTACGAATATAATTTAGCAAAAAAAAAAGGAATAGGAGAGAAAAAATAAAAATATTCCTCGGGGGACACAGCAGACACTTTATAATTTTTAAATTATAAAATATAAATACGTTTTAAATAATTTAACTGTAATTAAATTTAACAAAGGATTTTCCAATTTGTTTTTAAACCCCAATTTTTTAAAAAAGATAAACTTGAATTAAGTGGTAAAGCATTTAAGTAAATTGATGTAAATTTATATAATATTTTAAAATCGAAAAAAAGTATTTTAAACATTTTTTAGTCTTACCACGAAAATAGAAAGGTGTTAACCTTACCTCCTAATTTGGTTTGTAAAAAAAAAATGGCCTGTGGCTCTAAAGAGCAATGGAAAATGCCCCCAAACTATATTTAGCGATGCCACTGCGCGCTCAAAAAAAAACAAGAAAAACTTATTAAAATTGTAAATTGTCTGCAAAATTTTGTGCGCAACGTTGCGAATCGGCAGAGAGGGTGTGATGGAAGGGGGAGGGGATTTGGCAGGAAAGCGTAATGGAAACCGAAACCCCCGCCAGACACTGGCCATCATCATAATCGCCATCGGCAGCGCGATGAACATCATAATTATCATAATTGGGCTGCGCCGGTTCGTCAAAAGTCGTTCGGGCCAGTCTAAGAAGCGTCTAACGAAAATGGCAACAAATTTCTCAATGCCTTTTGTCTGTCCCCCCTCATACCAATATTTATGTGTGCTTTCCTTGGTATTTGTTTTTATTTTTTTTTTGGTTTTTTTTTCATTTTTGGTTGGGGAAATCCTATCGACAAAGCCAAAAGCAACAGAAAATCGCGTCAAATGTTTTAAATAGAATCATAAACAGAAACGGAGGCAAGACAACAAGCAACCAAACAAGCGAAACCAAAATCGCAACACAAATCGGAATGAACTAAAGCCACCCGTCGATATTTTATTTGATGTTCTTCTTCGGCTATTTTCGAAATATATATTTTTGGCTTTCAATGCGGCCATATTGAATAATAATAATACTTAAATTAGCGAAATTGATTTTTTTTGTTGGCAAATTTACGAATTGAATGCAAATGGAATCGCCTCCAGATTATTTCTGTCTATTTGAATTTGAGTGCTGAATAATCAATTAAATCGTTTTATAAACCAAATACTTTATATTATTTAGTTTCCTTTTTATGAGTGTAAAGTTCATTCCTTTTTATTTCTTGAGGCTCCAAGTTTTTGACATGTTATCTCTTTCATTAAATCTAAATTGCCCCTAGGAAAACATTTTTGCTAGAGTTGAAAAGTTCTTGAACCCCTACGTTTTTAGCAATCTTATACTGAAAGTTCTTCTCTAGAGAAAACCCATTTTCAGCAAAGTAATAAAAAACACATTCAATTCACAAGAAACAAAATGATGGCCACAATGAACCACGCTCCATTTGGTTTTGAGGGTAGCAAGAGCAGAAAACTGAAAAACATTTTATACTGTTCCATTTTATGGACAAAAGGGGCTCTTCTGGCCATTCCGCCTCCGCTTCGGGATGGCTTGAAAAAGTCAGTCAATAACAATTAAGGCCAAAAGTTGTTGCTGCCGCCCCCTCGAAATAAGAACTATTTTCAACTTAAAACCAAGTCAAGCCGAAGGAAACTTTTTCAATTAGTATAACAAGAATTTCGGTTGGACCACTTCATTTGCGTTTCACTTATAGGATAGGATGATAACCTCAGGAAAATGTTTGGCTAAATTCTTTAACAAATTTTCTTTCCACTTGGCTGAGCCAGGCGATAAAGGAGCAAGATAAGAGAAGAGAAAAGGAGAGTGATTCAACAGAAATGGGATTAGGCGGACTTATCTCTCGCACTCCACAAGGTGGATGGTGGGTGGTGGGTGGTCCACACACGTGGGCGCCATCCCCCTAGGAAAGTTTGTTTGGGGCTTAGGCAAATATGAAAATATGCTCGATTATATACCACCTCCCAGGGATTTACCGTCGAAAAGGCAACACGATGAAAAAGCTTTAAGTAGTGTACACAGCCCCGGGGTATTCGTTTTATACAACGGCGTTGGAATGGAGAGCAAACTTGGCCATAATGAAGAGAAATGTTGGGTGCCTTTGCCTTTATCCCTGACTTGAATTTATTATAACGCCCCGGGGAAGAATTTAAATTGATGGTATGGTGTGTATAATGGTGGTTGTTCCATTGCTGGAATCCCCGAAATCCGACCCACAAAGTATGCAACGAAATTAATTGTTATTCTTTATGCTTTCCGCACAGGCAACGGCACAATTGACTTCCCAGAATTCCTTACAATGATGGCACGCAAAATGAAGGACACCGATAGCGAAGAGGAGATCCGGGAAGCCTTCAGAGTGTTCGACAAGGACGGCAACGGCTTCATCTCGGCGGCCGAGTTGCGTCACGTGATGACAAATCTGGGCGAGAAACTCACAGACGAGGAGGTCGACGAGATGATCCGTGAGGCTGATATCGATGGTGACGGTCAGGTCAATTACGAAGGTGAGTAATCGATTGTCAGAAAGGGTAGATAGCTTTTAGAGCATATTAGTCATTATTTTTTATTTTCAATGGTATATCGTAACTGCTTAGATCTAGGGTCCTGAAATAATATCGACAGTTTGATATTTCTTGATATTTAATTTGAGTTTTCCCTTCATAATTTCGATATTATCGAATCGATATCGTCAAATTTATCGAAAATATCGATATATTACCCAATGTCTAAGTTTTAAAGACAGCTAAAAAGTTTATCTAATAGATACCCGTTTATTTCCTACAATTCCACAAAATAAAGTAAAAATTCGAAAAAAGATCAAGGAAATTAATAATTACCGTTTTTTAAATGTTTAATTTGTAAAGCTAGATACTACTAGTTGTATCATTACACAAGTTATCTTAAACAGTAAAAAGTAAACACTAACGACAACGAAAAAATTAGTTACCTTGTACTGAAGAACCTCTTAGAAAGTTTTTTTTAAATACCAAAGAAAGTGATGAAATATGGGAAGTATTTTCCAATAATCTGCAATTACGACAAGTGGATTTTGTAAGGTGTCGCTTACGCGATTTCCGCTGTAATAGCTGTAATATTTTTGTGTGTTTTGTGGGTCGCGTGTTGGACCCTAATTGGATCTGTCTATTGCACCTGGCGAGAAACTAAAACAACAGCGACAGCGATTGAATCACGGGCATCGCATTTGAGTCACAATTGGCACTTGGCTGTGTCATATGGCTTTGCTAATTAACCTGATCTCTCTGCGCCTCCCCTCCTTGACTCATTATAGTAATACTTATTTTCAGTACTAGCCGTATATAAACATATATATATATAGATTGAGAGAGATATAAAACAAATATCTCTCGCCATGTGCACTGCATTTTTATTTGAAATTTTCGTGTTTTGTGTTCTTCGTAATTTTTTAATTGCTTGAAAATTGATTTTTCAATTGAGCAAACAGCAGGCCAGCAGGGAAACAGAGTGAGAAAATTGGAAAAGCTAAAACAATAAAACAGAAAATGGAACAAATTTGAGATCGCGAAAAAATCCTCGCAAGTTTTCCACAGATTTCCCATGGCATATCCTCCCACTCCCTTGGCTCTTTGCAAAATTTCCTTTTGTTGTTGTGCACCGGGAAAAGTAGCAATTAAAATCGGACAGTACTTCCCCCGACATATGTATATATGTACCTATCCGTTTATATATACGTTGATCTTCAAGTTCAAATAGAAATCGTTTTTGGCTGCCGCCGAAGCATTTCTCGGATCAAATAGATTAATCACAAGTAATTTATGAACAAAATACATAAAAATAGGCAAAAGTTTAAACAAAAGAAAACAGAAGAATGATGATCTACATTTATAATCATTATCTAAAAGTAGTTTTAGTGAAATTTGTTAATAGAATTTTTTCCTATAAAATCAAACACTGATACAGGGTGAAAAAAGTAGGATTAGTTCATAATAAGGAAGTTCTTCAAACTGTCAGATAGTAATTTTTAAGTGGAAGGTGGATTTGGTAGAATGCTCAAGTGGCTTTAAATCAGGTGATAATGATAATTTTCCAAGTTTTTTCAGTACTTAAGTGGTACAGTTCTATAAAGAACTCATGTCTCTTACAGAATAATCCAATTTGGAGCTGTTTAAACCAATGAAAACTCTTAATGATACCAAAATCAACAGCGAAAGAAGCCTTTTGAAAACATTCCGTACCATCATTCCCCTGCCATATATCACTTGCCATTTAAACATTTTCCTGCGCCTGCTCCCAATCAGCAATTTTTATGCCTTTCGCCACTTTTCTGCCGCCCAAAATTGAAATGTTTTTAAAAGCCAAAATAAATGTCGCGCGTAAATTCCACACTTAAATGATTAACCTGCCGGGGCAAACAGCTCACAGCAGCACACAGCCCGCGGCGCACGGCAACAGAGTGCGGATGGGAAAGAACAATTAAAATAAAATATATAAATATTGTGCAATATTCTTTAATTTCCCCGCCGTCGCAAAATCGGGGTATTATAGAGGAGGAGGAGGATGGCATGAACATGAACATTGACCGAGCGAATGAATCTCACTCGCCTGGCCGTGTTTTTTCGTTCAGTCAGCGGAATCAGCATAACGTAAATATAAAATGCGCATTGTTGCCATTTTGCTTATTGCCAATTAACCAAAGTCTTTATTGTTGTCTTGCCGGCTATACAGTGTGCCGGGTATAACCACCCACCCAACCTCCGCACCCCAAAAACACCCCCACTTTCCCACTCATCGGTAATTTTGCAAGTGAAAATTATATGGCGCAAACAATGAATATGCGGAGAAAGATATTGGGGAATGGGAATGGGAATGAGATGAGACTTACTTTGGCCGAGTGCCAGATAGAAAAATGCTGTGCAAAGGGAACGGCGGCAGATACGAGAGCCAGAAGAACAAGTCGAAAATCAAATAAAATGTTAAACAAAATACAAAGAACAACAAATTAAACATTAGCACAGGGGCGAGGCAAATTAAATGAACACATCCCATCCCAAAATGTGTGAGCGCGCGAGAGAAGGGAAGATAAATTCCAAAATTAGCTAAAAAAAAAAAAAGAAAGATATATAATAGACCTAAGCAACGATAGAACAAGTAAGTTTGGCGAATGTAAACAAAGAGACGAAAGATAAACAGCAGAACCACAAAAACGCCAAACGACGTAATGAGGGGGGTGGTGTTGCGGTTAAATCGGGGGCTGGGTGGACTATTAAAATAAAATCCAAGAAAATTTGCCAAGAATATTTTGTTGACCACGGACGACAGCCGGAAAAGTTGCAACTCGATCGGGCTTAATTTCATTTTAATTGTCTTATCTAACAGGGTGGAAAATCCAGCCCACAAAAGGTCATCAACAACTAAAACACTTTGGGAAAAACACTAAAATAAATAGTTACCATTAGAAAAGTTTAATATTTAAAAGTCTAAAGATTTGATTGACTAGAAATTTTAGAAATTTATACATTTTTATTTATATTTATATTGTTTAATGGACTGTTTTTTGGTTTTTTGAATTTAATTGGAGTTTAAATATTTTTTTTGCTCAGTGCACCGAACTGGTCAACTAATAGGCGTGGCCCTAGTGGGGGCAGTGATGTTTTAGGACGAAGATTTAATCAAAAGAGTGAAACGTCGAGCATTTGCATGTGGGCAAATGTCAAGGCCGACCCCACTGGGGATTTTGATTCTCGTATATTTTGCATACGGCTGAGCCCTTTTCCGGGCGTTGCCTTAACTTTAGCTAATAACATTTTATTTTTAAGCCGTTTACGACCACCAAAAGGGTTTAGTTTTATTATCAAAGGTGTGTTTGGCAATTCAGGGCTGTTAGCTGGAATAATAATCCTATAAACGTCGGGTTAGATTTCCCAAAAGCTTGATAACATCAATCGATTGTTTGAGGTGTTTGATAAGCTGATTTTCAGGCCAGACATTTTCGTTTGAAGTTAGCTAACCAAGAAATGCGATAAGATTGGATGAGGTACGGGAAGTATTGGGAACTCAAAGAAGAATTTTGAACATTCCTAAAAATTTACCTCATAATAATCCTTGGCCCTTGACTCTAGTGCAGTCAATTTGGGTTTTGCAATACCCGATAAAAGTTTGGCAATCCCATCTATACCTATAAATTCTTGACCATTGGTCCCGAGGAAATCCACCCAATTACACGCCCACTCAATTTGCCTGTCCTATCTGTGTTTTTTTTGTGTGTTCCTCTCTTGTGTCGTCTTGTTTAAATATTTCAAAAATGCAATCACCCTAGGCGACGGTGGCAAAAGCAGGGAGGCGAAGAAGTGCAATCAACAAGAACAGATGCAGCAGCGGCCGAGAATTCGTTTCTCCTTTTAAAAATAGAAACAGGCAAACACCTGATAAATTGGGGACACCAATACAGGCGGGAAGACCCCGACTTTCTGTTCGTCGTCTGGTGGCTGTTCTATACTCGTTTTTTCTTCCTTATTGATTGGATCGATGATGCCAAATTTTTCTTATTTTTTTTATAAGGGGTATTGGTAGACTAAAGGGGTATATTGAAAAGCTAGTTTCTCTAGATTATATAAAAACATTTTTTTTGTATTTAACCTACTTGGTGAAAACTTTGGTAATCGCTTTTCGGGTATGCAATGTTTTTTTGATGCAGGACAGTGACTAATGGGTGTTTAGTAGTCTGGACTCTCTACCCATCAATTCGCGAACAATGCGGCAAGAGGCAACGTCTTTATTGCACTCTGCTTCCGTCGCTGCCAACGTCGCAAGCAGCATCCTCCACTTTCTATTTTCGGACGAGGAACCGAAGAGAGTACATAATCTCTGGCGATTGACTGTCTGAGTCTTTGCACTCAATAAATTTTCCTTGGCTACATGCTTCTCATGATTCTACGGGCTGTGTGTGCTGTGCTGTGCGGCAAAGTGTTTTCATCAGACATCTCGTGACTTGCTCGTTTGTCTTATTGATTAGGTGGCCGTTGCTGTTGTTGTTGTAGCCATAGTGTAATGCTCGTTTGCTATTGATTAATTGCCGTCTTAATTTAGTAGAAGGTTAATGACAGCGCTCAGCTATTTTCGATACTTGATTTGTTGTGTGAACATTTTTTTGTGTCAACTCAGTGCCTAAGTGGTTGGGATAATCTAGGGGTAGATATAATTTCCAAGTTTTTTAATTGAGCAACAGTTTACATTTTGTTTTTACGAATCTCTTGCATAATTTCGATAAATTCCATTAATAAATATAAATAGTACAAATTTTAATCGATCTTCTATAATGTATAGATTTTAAAGAGCTATTTTCGATACAAATTTAGGACAACTCTTTATTCTTATGCAATATTAAACCCTTTTAAAACCCGATACTAATAAACATTTTCTCTCTATCTTTGCAGAATTCGTGACTATGATGACATCGAAGTGAAGCGTTAAATTATTTCTTTTTAAGCCTTTCTATTTTTTTAAGATGTTGACGAAGACTGTAGCTGTGCGCAATAACATCGCGCCACGCTGTTGCTATGGACCCCAGTAAAAGATCTTAAAAAAAAAACAACAAACAACAACAAAGAGTTAAGCAAAAAACAACCAACATAATGAAGAATAAGAAGCAAAAAACATTTAAGAAACTTTAAAACAAATGAAACTTACACTTAAAAAAATGCAAAAGCAAAAGAAAATTTAAACAAGCATAAAATGAAACCACAGAATTCAGAAAGAAAGAATTACATTAAACTGAGAGAAATGGTTAAACGAAAAAACAACAACATAATTTTAATGCAACAAAAAACAACAACCAAAACAGCATACTTAATGAAGTCACCGTTTAAAACCACAAACAACAACAACAACAAAACCAGCAGCAACAAACAAGAATCGCATGTTATCGTTTTGAATAACAGGAACAACAAGTCTATCACTACACTTAAACAAATGAAGAGCAAGAAGAAAAGCGAGCAGAGGGCGAAGCAAGGAGCAGCAGGATCCACCAGTATTGCCGATAGATGGCGCACCCAATAATGGTCAGCGCGCCACCTGGCGACGGCGGCGCGCAACGGCTGCATTTTGTTTGAAAGTTTTCCAGTAAAAGAATAAATGAAAACCCGAATCTGTAAGCTAGCAAATTGTGTTTAAAGTAGAAAGAAAAATTTGTCGATTTCGTTGCGAGAAAGAATAAAAATAAAAGCTAAACAAACAACAAATAAAGATAAAACAAAAACTGTTAAAGAAAAATATTTGAAATTTTTGCAAACTGGCAAAGTTTATATAGACACTCTACACACACAAGCCCTCTCTCATACACACACTACACCCCACACCCACACAAAACACACACATAAACACCCACTCCCACACACAGACATGTCAGAAAAACAAGAAGTAAAATATATTATAAATACAACATATATATATTATAAATAATGTAAAATCAAACAACAACAAATTCTTCTTATTAAATTATATTTAAATTTAAAATTAATAAATATAAAGAAAAAAATAAAACAAATAAAAATTACAAAAAAACAAAAAGAAACCAACAACAAATACATTTTCGATATAAAATTAAATTAAAATCCAAAAATGTGGCGCGCAGCAGAAGATGAGGCATATTTTTGGGGGCTGTACGAGGACCAGCAGGACCGCAGTCCAAAAGGTCCTTGATAGGCAGCTTTTTTGTCGGCACTATTTGTAGCAAACTTAAGCGACACCACACGGCGATCTGAGCATATTAATATGATATGATCAGATTTAACATTTAACAATGCAAACGCCACAAAAACACAACAGCAACAGATTTCTCTAGTACTTAAGCGGCAGCAAACCAAATAAACCGAATATTACTATTACAAATATAAATATGAAGGAACTATATATATATACATATAAATACCTAATGTACTTAAAGCAAAGGGAAAACCAAATTTAAAGTAACATAATTTTATTATAAAGAAATATAAAATTAAATATTTATATGCGAGACGAAGCGGAGGAAGAGCTGGAAGAAGAAGCAAGGAGAAGATTTCATCAAACACACACATATATAAGGAAGAAAGGACGAAGTATGGAGGAGCAGCAGCAACATCGCAGGAGGCTCCCGCGAAGGAAGACAACTCTTAAGAACAGGAGACGATGTAGAAGAATCAGCGGTTCAGCATCGGAACAGTTATATATATTAACATAAAATATATATAAATATATATTTATAAATAAATTATACATATGAATTAAACTAGCTAAATGCAAAGACAATTGTCTTAAATGTAAGCAAATCAAGCGTGGATTCGAGACGTAAACCAAAGCAAAGTTTAGACAAAAGCAAGAGAGCTAGCTAAGCGTAACATAAATTAATATACGAGCATATTGGTTTAAGTTGAAGTTAGAGCAAAGCAACTGCAACAAATATTCCTGGCACCACAGCAACCGCAAGCTTTAACCCATCCGCTCTGTCTCCACCACCCAACTAACTACTTGTCTATCTGTCTAACTGTCTTTTCCTCTATGTCCACTGCTGCCTAGTTAACGTTAACCGATAGAAAAATGTAACGAAGTCTGCGCGACCAATGCTAACTGAACCGCACTTGGTTTTAATTTAATTTCATATCGAAAACCCTGTTTCCTTTTCTCAACTGTAACGAACTCGCAACGCGTCGTGATGTCTTCTAACCGATCTATCCATACACCATCCAATCTAATCCCATCCCACACCACCTCACGCCATCTCTAATCTTTCCCATGCTAACTCTAACTCTTCTCCACTGCATAAATCAACTGTGAGTATAACTTAACAAAGGCAGGAACACAAAGGCAACAACAACTCTGCGTGTTTTCTACGTTATAATATTAAGTCGAGTTTTATAAATTCCTTTTGTTTGCTTGACTTTGGACAAAAAGGCTCTGAAGGGCAACGACAAAATTTGAACAAAAACACCATTTGCGCTAATGATAAAACATGAAAAATTAACAAAAAAAAAACAACACTTTTCTATAACTTTTTTTAACAAACAAAATAAAAAGAAGAAAACATTTTGTAGCGAAATTTGTGCAATGTTTTAAAGAAATGAACCTATATTGAAATCCCAATGAATTGCAGGCAAAATTTAACTCGAATCAAATGACAGACGAATTTTTCTAAATCTAAAAAAATAGTTAAATCTAACTGACAATGTTAACTCTTTGAACGGTCTCTTTCCCTCGAAAGTAGGCTCTCAAAATTGTCCAGTTTCATGAATGTCAAATGATAGGACATTTCCAATTCAAATTGGTTGCTGAAGTGCGTCAGTTGTGGCATTGGAGACTGGATTCTCTGAGTTTCTCAATTTCCAAATCAAAACTTGCATAAATATTTATCTTCGTTTGCAAAGCAGAAGGCAGTCAAAGAAATGGAAAGTAAGAAACCGAAAACAAACTTGTTAAAATATGCTAAAAGTGTTTAGCAAATTACAATATTTCGACAGGCAAAGAAACAAAACAAAGAACTCGCGCCTCTATCTATATATGCAAACATATATATATAAATATATAAATAAAGCTATATACAAGTTATATTTACGAATATTGTAAAAATTGCAAAAACCGATGAAGAAAAACTAAAAGCATGAACAAGCGAAACCAGAACATACAGAAATTTCTTTGAAAAAATACACAAACATTTTAAAAACCTCGAAACAAAAACCAAAATTGTCGTTTTCTTTTAACCCAAAATTCCTGGATTGGCTTACATATTCTCACAGACACAACGCTCAATCATCCCCGATTCGGCCCCCAAGGATATGCTATCCACTGTATTGGATCTTGATCTCAACCAAGATCCATGAGCTCCGCGAGTCAAGTTGATTTATAGATTAAGTACAGCCAGCGGATTGCCAGGGATTCCATTGGTTGAACTGCGGCCAGCCAACGACGACTGGAACTGGAAACGGAAGCTACCCGATTTGAGAGATATATGCCCCACACTATATAATCCGATAAGAATTTAACAAGTTATACATTGAATGTATGCACTAAAACCACCAATTAAGAGATTTCATCGTAAAGAAGAAAGCCTAAAATATATGTATAGCGAATGTGCAAGTTATTCTTGATGTCCAATATACCATAACCATGTGTACCTATAAGCCAGGCAAGTAGAAGGCCCGTTCCTGCACTCACTCTCCTCAATTTGATTCGGAACTGCACTGAATGTCTATGAGAATAACCGATTCCCACAAAAGTAATATTGTAGCCAAGCCATAAAGATATTTTCCTCGAATAAACGTATATTTCGGTACTTAAAATATGGATGTTAGTCTTGTCATAGATTAAAAGCGTAAAATGCAAACGTAGGCCTTGAATGAACTCAAATTATAAATGGTATATACGGATATTAGAGGCTATACACATATTTATTAGAAATTATTGCGCCTAGAAAATAAATAAATGTATAAATTAAGTGATAATTAAAACTGGTTTTATTTTTTATACATTTAATTTTTATTGTATTTGTATCTATCGGGAAAAAGTTGTATATATTTTAAATATTTAAGTTAGATTATTTTTCTATTGCATTTCTTTGGCAGCCGAAAAGTATACTAGTTGTTTGAACTATCAATACACCTATACTCCCACACCACACATACACTGAACACATTTTCGGGTTTTTTGCAAAACACATTTGTTGTGGACTGCGGATAGTATACGTATTATTCAAAAAGAAGAGTCGAAATAAAAAACATAACAGCTACAGCGCTCTGATACATCGATTCAAATTTGAGGAAATACCAAAATGTTCTAATTTTAAGCAAGCGAAATGTTAAACATTATATATCGAAATACGAAATATCCAAAGCTTTACCTACCAAAATGAGAGTGCAACTGTGCGGCAGAAGGGCATAACTATAGCCATGCAAGATCACCTAATCAAAACCAGAAACGAAATTTCATCCATAGGACAAACAACTGACTCTATATATGAACTGTAACTTCTAAGCTCTAAATTGTAATTAAACTTATCGAATATGAATTTCCAAGAGGCAGACTATAAAACTGTTTATACCAACCAACCTTGAGACATGATTAAATAGAACAATCCGGCGGGCAAGATGACAAGTATTAGGGTATCGCCACTACCCAAAAGAAATCTGCATAGCAAATAAAAAATCAAATGCAAAACTAAATCCATTAACTAACACGTAAATCTGTGTAATCGGAAAACAAAACCAGACAAAAACGAAACGAATATAAAACAATTTTAATAATTCTATTCTACTTAACAGGCAAAAACAAAAAAAAACTAAATAAAGACAAAAACAGAATATACAATTTAAATCATGTGGTTGTTATTTATTTTTTCTTTACAGGTATAAGTTACATATGGAAATGAATTGTGGTTAAAAACATTTTCAGGAACAAATCAAAATGTGCTTTTCACCATGGGGTTCGAGGAAAAGCTTGTGAAGTTTCATAAGCGTGGTGTCTTTGGGGTCCTGAATCTGTTTCTAAAGTGTCCTTACTATTCTTAAAGCTTGTTGATGGCGTAGGTTTTTATTACCTACAGCTGTAAGTAAAAGAGCTATTCGCCTTTCTACATGTACTTGCTAATTTATTAAGGCAAGTTCCAAATCTTTGCTATATTTTCTAGGACACAAATGCCTTATATACACCTACACAAAATATTACTCATACGATACTTAAACCAAGGTTAGAAAATATACTTTAAGCTATTAAAAAATATAAGATAAATATTTAAATGCTAACAAATTTTGTTGGAATTTTCTTTTTTTGAAACTATTACTCAATAATTATATTCTCTCAATCACCGAATTTATTAAGGCCTAGTACTCACTTCAATCGAAAAGCCTACGAAATGAAAATCTCCATACAAAGTTTTGATCACAAAATTTTCCGCCTGTCATTTTTGTATAGAAATTTTCGTTTCGTTGCCTTTTTGGTTGAAGTGAGTACTAGGCCTAAAAGATAAAAATAAAAAAAGATCTAAAATAAAAGCAAAGTTGTTATCTTATCGATTCATTATCCTTTATGGCGAATAACTTTTCTCTTTCACAAATCCATCATACATAAAATATATATATTAATATTCCCCAAACGAAAATCACTCATACGCCGCCTATGCCCTGTTATTTTCTTCCTCCGATCTGGCAACTCTCCCCGAATATTTTTGTGAATGAAAACAGCGCAAGGCCGCAAGCTTTACGCCAGCAGGAAGTGGAAAGCTCGCTCAATGCAACCAGAAACGCGCTACAGCGACAATAAAGATGCTCCCGCGGAGAGAAAGTACAAATCTGCGGTGGGAGTTGGGTGGATGGGCGGATGGGTGGGTTGTTTTTCAAGGGGAAAAAGGAGGAGGAGGGATGGGTGGTTCTTGTGGGCTGAGCACGAGGTCTGGCATATGCCGCGTTGTATTTTGTTTGTTTTGATTTCGCTGCGCTTCGGCCTTTGTCGTTGTCGTTGTA